GGCAGGTCTACTATGGAAGCTATACATTTATTGAGAGGTTTGATGGATTAGTTCAGAGATAATAAAAAGAATCTACATTTGATTTTTATTGATATAGAAAAAGCTTACGATAAGGTTCCAAGAGATATCCTTTGGAGAGTTCTCGAGAAGAAATGTGTTGATATGACTTATATTCAAGTCATTAAAGATATGTATACTAGAGCTGTTACTTGTCATTGGAGTCTAAATGCCTTCATTTGAGTAGAACTAAAACTGAATAAATGGAATGTAATTTTAGTAGTACTAGCTCTAGTGACAGAAGTGTAAATTTGGGTGATCAAATTATTAAAAGGTGTGAATGATTAGTGATCTTGGGTCCATTATTCAAAGCGATGGTGATATAGATGGGGATGTTAATAGTAGAATTCAAGTTGGTTGGTTGGAGTGTTTTGTGTGTTAGAAAAGTACCGCTTAGATTGAAAGGAAAATTTTATAAGACGGTGGTGAGACCTGCAATGCTCTATGACGCTGAATGTTGGCCTTTAAAAGAGAAGCATAATAATAAGTTAAGTGTTGCCGAGATGAGATTGATTAGGTGGATGTGTGGCTTTACACTTAGAGACAAAATACGGAATGAATATATTCGTGATAGGGTTGGTGTAGCTCCAGTGACGGACAAAATTAGAGAAAGTCGTCTTAGATGGTTTGGTCACATTAAACATCGACTATCTGATGATCCGATTAGGAGAGTAGATGTTTTAGATTCGACTTGTGTTAAGAAAGGCAGAGGTAGAACTAGGAAGACTTGGGCTTATTGTATTAAAAATGATCTTAACTTACTAGAACTAAATGAAAGTATGACACTAAATAGGAATAGAGAAAAAAGATTCATGTAGCCGACCCCACGTAGTGGGATTAAGGCTTTGTTGTTGTTGTTGTTGTTGTTGTATGGTCATGTATGGTTCCTTCCATTTTGATTATTGTCGGATCATTTTCAACTTTCGATTCATCAAAGTCGCTTCATATCCCAAATCCTCCTATGACAACTTATAAGAATTTAACCCGCGCACCAGCCTCCTTCACCTCAACCTCTATATTCTTTCATGAATGTAGCTTGCGGTCCAAATGTTACCGATGCCTTTTCCTTCCCAATGAACTGTTCATCAATATTCATACATCAGACTTGAAAATATCTTCAAAATAAAACAAACCTCATCTTTCAAGGGTAAACTTGCTCTACTCTTTCCAATGATATTTTTATGCTTCTTAAGCCTCTCAAACAATCACTCATCAACTAAATTAGAAAGTTAGTCATATTTGAAGCTTTATGATGACCCACAATATATCATCATAAAACTATTGTTACAAGTAGATCACACATGACTATTCTCATAACTGTCCTATTATACTAATGGGCTTCCAATGCTCCAATTAAAATGGCCCCACCCATTTTGGTTGCTCTGTGGAATCTCCAGTCACATCAATTTTAATTTATTTTTCCAATATTCATTTCCTCTATTTCAATAAGTCTACATTATTCTCTAGAACTTAAATATTTGAAAACATTTACAAGAGAATCCTTGACGCGTGGCGGTTACTGTAGCTGCTTCAGTAATAATAATTTTACCTTTTTTTTTTCTTCATGGTGGTTTGAGTTTCCTTCTGTATCATTGCTACAATAACTCGTTTTGCTAGGTTCTTTGTGGCTAGTCTCGATGGAATTGTACATTTTTACACCATTCCATAAAGTATAGATTAGTCCATAAAGTTAGATCGAGTCTTTGTTATTTAAATATTGACAGAAATTGAAATTTAAAAATAAGTCACCATATTGTTCATCTTGTCATATCTATGAACATAAATTCTCAAAATATTTCAATGTACATCCTGAGCCGAGAAATCTTCATTTCAGGTCATAGGACCTTACACCCGATGACTCTACGGTGGAAGATCACCCTCCTTGTTCATATTTATGCTAAAAAAAAAGATGCATGTTCGACAAAGTGGTTAATGTTCCTATTCCTCCTAGTCTTTTGGTGTTAATCACTATATCTAAATTGAAATTATAAATGAAAATTATTTGCAAGGTCTTGTAATGCCCCAGGGGTTCATCCCATTGGTGAATAAAAGACTTGGAATGCTCTCTTAAGGAAATTCTCCGGATATTATATTCAGGAAAAAGTTCAGCGATCTCGAGTCTTTTGGTTGGTTATTAATTGACTCAGAAATATCTTCGGTAAGTGAAAAATATTTTGATCACACGACCAAATTTTTTTGAAATCTGCTTAGGCTCGGAAAGAAAGAATTAAAAAGATGACGATGATATTAACAATTAATGGAAATTCAACCACGCTCAGCAAATACAACTCCAACAGCAGTTCGAAGAACGTCAGAGTTACTCCTCAAAGACGACAAGAACAACTTTTACAGATTCAATATCAAAGCAAGCGACAACTACTACAAATGAGGCTACGAAGTTACGGCCTCTCGAGTTGTGACGTCCTTAGAAGTAACACATCTTTATGTGTACTTGAGAGAATATAATTCTGAATGTACCTTAAAGAATGAGTTACTTTTACACATATCTGCAGTCAACAGATGGTATCTCAAGAAGTACTATGCATCCTAGAGTTTCAAAGACAACATCGCTCTTAGAAACATGGATGCTGCACTTGTCTAAAACTGGGTCCTCTTCCTTCTGTGGAAAATATTAGCTGGCTCTATAGAACCACACTCTTCTCAGACCCTTGTCTGGTGCATATGAGGTTTGGCTGGTTCTACAAATATAAAGCTGCATCTTTTTCCACAGGGATAATTCTTCGATCAACTTTGACGTTGGATGCGAATCTCTGACATTCCTTCCCGGGCTGATTCTTTGTTCGCCTTTTGGGATTAATTTGAGTGCCTCCAAAATTCTTTCCCAATGTGCCTTTTTTGGAACTTTCATAAACTTCATAATTCTTCACAAATATTCATATATTTGCAACATCTACATAAACTTTCACAAAATTCTACGCTACATAAATTCCTACAGACATTTTTCACGACTCTTCTAAATTTCAAAAAATTCCATAAGAATTTCACAAACCTCCGCAAATCCCTGCATCCACAATCCCAACAAATCATTTACAAATCTTTGCAAATTTTCACAATCTCTGCAAATTATCCACAATTTCACAATCTTCATAAATCTCCGCGATTTTACAATTTCACAAGTCTCCAAGTCGCCTAAGCACATTTGGAATAGGC